TAAGTATGTTTTCATGGCTCAGCATACCTCCTGAATTCGGCATACTTACCTGGTACAGGAGAAACCTTGATCAGCAAGGAGGTTCTCCCAGGACGAGGCTTCTGCATTGCACCTAGCGGAGGCTGACCCCTGCGATCACCCCTAATGTGGGTGACTCGAGTACGTAATTTTTTAGTGTGGGGGACTGCGTTCGCGCTCTCCCCTGGTAAATCAATGTCAAAAGAGTTGTACCCGCCATATATCGCCAGCCAAGTACTAAAAACCCGGCCTTATGCGCTATAAGAGTGAATAACGTTATTATGACGTCGTTTTTACTGTCTTCCTTAGATGCAACGTTATTCCTATGTAGGCTTGTGCGGTCTTGTTTNTTAGACAGGAAAATGCCATTTCTGACCGGGTAAGTCGCGAATTTAAATTGTTTTGTCCACTCCAATCTTCCTGTTTGCATTTTTTCGCCATAACAGTGTTTTTGACGTCATAATTGTATAGTTATACAAGAATTAATCTAAGATAACGTTTTTCACGAGATTTGGCTCTTTTTTTATTTGTTCTGACTTGGGGGAAAAGCAAATTTTTTTTGTTTATCGGCAAATATCGACTTGGACCAAAAATTCTAAATCTGGACCGAACACAAAGAAAAATGTACGAGGCACATTTCTTTTGCGAGAGTTCTTATTCAATTTATGCTTAATGCCATTTCGGGTCATAGAGGGTTAATGAATAATACCAGTCTAGATCTTTTCTAAGTATGTTTCATGGCTCAGCATACCTCCTGAATTCGGCATACTTACCTGGTACAGGAGAAACCTTGATCAGCAAGGAGGTTCTCCCAGGACGAGGCTTCTGCATTGCACCTAGCGGAGGCTGACCCCTGCGATCACCCCTAATGTGGGTGACTCGAGTACGTAATTTTTTAGTGTGGGGGACTGCGTTCGCGCTCTCCCCTGGTAAATCAATGTCAAAAGAGTTGTACCCGCCATATATCGCCAGCCAAGTACTAAAAACCCGGCCTTATGCGCTATAAGAGTGAATAACGTTATTATGACGTCGTTTTTACTGTCTTCCTTAGATGCAACGTTATTCCTATGTAGGCTTGTGCGGTCTTGTTTTTTAGACAGGAAAATGCCATTTCTGACCGGGTAAGTCGCGAATTAAAG